AGGAGGAAGTCTGTCATGGAGCGGCGACGATGGGATGGTGCCGATGGTCGAGGGAAGACGGCCTGGACTTCAACGTCGTGCCCTTACAAGCCCGCACGCTGCAACATGCCGAGGATACAGAAGATTCGGACTGAGCCGAGGATTTTTGGCCGAGCTACACGTACCCATGACCGCCGCTACCTCACTCCAACCTCGATCTAGTCTCTTGCCCAGACCCCGCAGCTCGATACATGCGCTCTGCTTGGCAACACAGTCACCAGGCCCAGGCCAATCGCACTCGACTGCACCGAGATCAAGCAAGGCCGCAGACCCACGCGGACTCCCGGTAGCCGCAGTTGACATACCGAGATACAGAAAAGCCAACCGCAAGCGCGGGGCACATTGGTGCGCAGGGAAGGTGTGTAGTCACAGACCAAAGCGTGCACGCTGTCTCCGCCTGTCGGCTCGAAAGCAGCAACGGGCACTGGCAAGCAGAAACCTGCGGGTAGACTCGCCCGGCAGCGAGCCATGGACTTCCGCGCCATGCCGTGTCTCTACAGGACGGTCGGCTATGCAGTGAACCAGCTGGTTGAAAAAGCTCAAGGCACCTAACGGACACCAACCGCCGCCAAAGACAGAACTGCTCTGTGCGAGAACCCTGACGAGGCGACCTCTCCGAAGCAGCCAGAGCCGACTGGGAGAGCATCTTCCGACAGGTACAAGGAGTGGTCGCGAGCATCAGGCGGGGACGACAGAAGAACGGACGACTTGTCACCAAACAAGGCCTCCAGAAGCTCGAGAAGCATCTGATGCTGGCTCGGAGATGTCGGCAACAGGCCGCGGAAAAGCACGCCAGGCAACGCCGTCGCCGCGTGCGATAAAGGAATGCCTCCGCCTGCTGAGCCGAGCGCCTTGGCGACGCAGCAATGGCGACGTACTTGGGAAAGCTCGCAGTCGCGATCACACGCAGTGCTCTGGCGACGGCCTCGGACAACAACCATCGCTCCAAGCAACACGAAGGAAAAAAAACCGAGAGTCCCCAATTGCTGCCGTGTGTCCATATGCTGCTCGCCATCATATGACAGAAACTGAACATGCAGTGCAGAAGCACGCGCCGACTCGAGCTCTCGGCTTACCAGCTCCTGCCCGGGCGCAACCTATACATCCGCGCCATTGACACCGGGCAACTCCGGTGGGCAGTTGATATCACGGCAATCACAAACCCCGAAGAGCCCCGTGTGTGAAAGGGCTGCATGCTATCATAAGAACGGCACCCGCAGAGCGCGCACCAAGGACGATGCCCTTCCTCATCTGGCTCGACGACCTCGAGGTGCGTCGAAGCAACGGCGACCAGGGGAAGAAGCACCCGCCCCCAACTCCGCGCAGGTATCCTACATGACAGGAGAAGATTACATGTGGGCCACAGCCGACTGGCTGGATCCGCAGGCCAGCATGCTTGCAACCGCTGCTGACGAACAGCACATGCCATCGAAGGAGTACAACTACCGAGTCGCAATGGAGGCGCGCAGCAACATGAGCGCACGCCATGGAAAATGCCGCGGCAACGGCGCACCGAGGAGCCAGACATCCCCCAGGGCTTCCGCTTCGTGGGTCCGACCAGGGCCGAAGCAGAGGCCGCGTTGCCGCCACAAGGACAGTCCCCAAGCACGACCTTCCAGGCACGCCGCTTCGACGAAGAGCTTCAAGCGTACCTGGAGGACAACCGTGTCTGCAACAGCTCCACATGCCGCACCACTCCATCAGCTGCAGGACACAAGGTCGGTACGCTCCTGCGACAGCACCGAGGTCGGAACTGCAGCAAGGCACGGCCACGGCAAAGCAAGCTCGCCCTGCACGAGGCCGCCGAAGAGATCTGCCCGGAGGACAACAGCACACAAGCCAAGCAGCCGGTAGCCCTGCTCGATCTAGTCGAAGGAGCTCTGCGACAGTGAAAACGAATCCGCAGCATCCACCTTGGCACTTCCCGGCTGCCAGGGTCCCAAAAAACAACTAACAGACGTAAGCTATACCGAATCCAGCCATGCCATGACGCGCACTATCAGGTCGGAGGATGACGGGTGCAGCGACCTGCGGATGCGAAGCCTGCGCGGCCACGCACAGTCAGTGACGCGAGGGCATGCCCGGCACCAGCGTCATAGCTCAGACCAAAAAGCCCGCAGGCAAGAGCCGGCAGTGCGCATGCGTCAAGCGAAAAGACCAGGGATACAGCACGTGAACTAGCCAGCCCGACCTTCGCACAGCTCTTGCAGCACCGCCTGTCAGTCAACCCTGCGGCCTCAGTAGTCTGGCTCAAACCTCCAAAGAACGACCCCACGTCAGGCCCAGCACCCGATTCTGCGCCAATGGCTTCACCCGTTCGCACCATCGCCGTCTTCCTGGCGGCATCCGGCAACAAGCTGGCCGATGTGCACCTGCCAGCTGGCAACAACACGGCCAGACACGTCAAGCGGGCACTCTGCACGCTGCTCGGGCTCCCGCGATTCCGACAACGACTGCTTTCCGACCGAGAAAGCGAGCCGCTGCCGGACACGTGCAGCCTGGACACCAACATCCAGAAGGTGTTCGTCGTCCTCCTCGCTTACATCCCACAATCTGAAGACGTGGAACAGGAGCTAATGGACGCCGTCAGCCTGAGCCCGCCGAACGACGTCGAGGCCATCCTCCAACGACCACAACATCCAGATACGACAACGGAGCGCATGTGCCAGTGCTGCGGCGAGGTGCCAGTCACCGCCCTGGAAGTGGCAGCCGCATGCAACAGAACGGAGATCGTGGAGATGCTACTGGAAGCCAAAGCGGACCTGACACGGCCGGGCAACGACCGGTCCCTGCATGCGGCAGCGGCCAACAACAACGTCGAGATTGCCACAATGCTCGTGCAAGCCGGAGCGGCCACCGACATGCGCTGCCCTGAAACCGACAGTACAGCACTCTTGGAAGCCGCGAGCAGACACCACTGGAACGTCGTGGCCGTTCTCCTCACAGCACGAGCCCAAGCCAGCGTCGCGGACGCGGAGGGCTGCACAGCCCTACATTACGCCTGCGGCCAGCATAGCATAGAACCGGTGCTAAGACTGTTGGAACACCAAGCCAACCTCCAGGCCAGGGATCAATACAACGTGACGCCCGTGCACGTTGCTGCATACTCAAACAACGGGCAAATGCTGGAGACCTTGCTGAACGGCATTCACGACCTGCTCGGCGACTACCCCGATCGTGGCAGCATCATGGAACCATGGGGATTCGAAGAGGGCAGCGAGGAAGAGCCGATCATCGACGACGAGGACTCCAGTGACGAGCAAGCGTAAGACCGACCCGTCTCACACGCAAGCACAGCAACGGACAGAAAGCTGGTGAAAGACCCGAGCGACAGTCGCACGTTCACCACCCTGCTGGTGCTGCCGCCGCCCAGCAGGACAGACTCTCCAGAACCCTTATAAGCCGTCCGCCGGCACTCAGCACGCCCCCCCCCCCCTGCTGGCACAGGTCCCGTCAAGTTTTCTGGACCGCCGGCGTGCAAAGCCATGCTGCTCAAGCAGAACAGACAGCACCTCCGTACAGGACCCCGACACAGCCATGGCCGTCGCCGTAAACCAAGCAGATCCAGAACGGGCAACCACCAGTGAGTTCGCCGCCGCCCGGCCTCACCTTCCAGTCTAAGTAGCCGCTGCTCGCACGTCCGAAGCGTCTGCCAAATTTGGGCTTGAGCTTTGTAAGGAAGGAGAGGCCCCCCATGTCCTGGCGACCGAGCCCCTCACCGAGAGCGGCACGGTACCTCGGAGGCAGACACGTCTAGCCAGCCGCTGACTGCTTCGACTCGCTAACACCCAGGCAGGCACGACAGAACCGCCAGAAGTGGACCAGGCCTGCGAGACCTGAGAGATAGTATAGACGACCGGGCCCACTTCGGCAGTGCGCCCTCCACGATCCTCCAAGCCTTGCCGTCCACCGCCAAGGCCGAGGAACCTCCCTCGAAGCGTCAGCGCACAACGTTGCCGGCAGAAATGCAGCCGGAAGACCCCCGCAGCTGCACCCCCCCTGTTTCCCCCCACAGCCCCTCGCCACCACCACCGCAAGCCCGCGACCCCGGCAAGGCCTCTCAGCCGCCAACACCGCTGGAGGCCCCCAACCTGACCGCCGCAGCCAAAGCCCGCGAGGCTCCGACTGAAAAGAAACCGGCCCCCGTGCACGACACGCTGCCAACAAGCCGTAGCTACAAGATCACGCACTTCCCCTGCCACGGTTGCTATCAGTGCGGTTTCGCTGCAGGCAAAGGCCGCGCCTGGTACGCACAGAGGGCCCGTGTTCGTTACCTAGCCTCGGTCAGATTGCGCTCTGCTTGGCCTGCGAACAGACTGGTTCCGAGGCGCGCCCCGAACCTCAAGGTGCGAGAAGCCGATCCTCCGCGGGATGAAGGGCCGCGACACAGACGGCCAGCAGTAGCCAGCAACGCCAAGCGTGGGTGCCGCCAAGCCGGAGGTGTCCTTGACACCAAGACTAGCCAGCTAGGCATAGCAGCAGCACACAGCCATAGCCGCAGGCCTATAGACCCGAAGATCCAAAAGAAAGTCGTCCAAGCGAGGCTGAATGCGCGAGCAGCACCAAGTGCAAATGCGGACTACAGCCACAGCCGACAGTCGTCGGAAGCAGCCAACCCGAGCACCGAAGCATAGGACGAACAGCCCAAGCTCGAGACTCCGACAGGTCCAAGCCCGACAGAGCAGCAAGAGAGTTCAGCAACACCGAGACAAGGCAGCGGCACCCACGCTGCGAGTGACGGGCAAATGAGAGGCCGGGAAAGAAGGACGATGCGGGCGGTGGCAGCCAACCACCTCAGCCCGACAGCATCGTGCCAGCCTCCGCAGGAGCACAGCTGATGTGAAAATCCAGACGGGGAAAAAGTAATCAGAAAGCTTGCGTAGAACTTGGCTTGCAGCCTCGCAGGCGCATGGACCGCAGACATATCGCTCAAACGGCCCGCCTGTGCCTCGCACGAAGCCATGACACTCCAAGGCTTTGACAAGAACGAGACCAAAGGAGTCGGCAAGGGCAAGACCGCTTGCCCAATTGACGCAAAGCAGACCCTAGCCATGTTCCTGCACGAAGTTCAGAAGCTGAAGACGTTCATCCTAGCACACACGGAAGACCCGCAGATGGACATGATAGTGGCTGCCTACCACTTCTGCTCCAAGCTGGAGTCAGCCGTCAACTTCGCAAGAGAGACCCTGCTGCGGGCACGCCTGCCCCAGGTGAACCCTCCGACAACAACAGGCGACCCCACTGCGGCCGGGCTCTTCGAGGACCCCCTACCCGGTCACGTGCACTGCAAGCTCATCTCCGCCGTGAGTGGCAACTTACTCTCCACAGTCAACCTACGCGGTGGGGAGCCGTACATGCCGCAGGTGCCCTTCGCCCGGCTCGGCGACGCGTTGCATGCACCAGGATTCCAGCTCCTAGACCAGAAACCGCACGGCGTGGACGTCGTGTTCCCTGGTCCGGGCTTGGCCCCGGACCCAGGGCAGGTGGAGCTCCAGCTGATGGCCTTGAGTACGAAGAACGCGGCCACGATGCGGATCTACGTGGCACAGGAGCCCTGCGTGATGAACATCAAAGTAAGCGACAGCTCCGATGTCCACTTCCAGACGC